TAAAAGTCCAAAAAGTATTTTTTATGCGAAATTAGAATTTTTCACAAAAATTCAGAAAAAAAAGTTTTAATAAGTTTTTCAAAATGCTCTTATTTGATAAGAAACATGTAGAAGATGAAGGTAATATAAAAATAAAAAAGATTTTTCTAAAAACGTTCTGAAAATGATCTGATGAGAAACATGAAGATAAAACTTTGTTATTTATTTAAATCATAATTTGTCAACATCTGACTAAAAATTAAAAATTAAATAAAATAAAATTAGCCAAAAAAAAAAATCCCTAATGCAAGATTTGTTCCCACAGTTGTATTATTGATGCTAAGAATTCTGGGATGTCAACATGACAATAAAGGATTGAATATATTATGACTTTACTATGACTTAAAACATGTCCATATTTTAAATAATGTGGTCCTCAGGTAGCACGATGACCAATAAAAGACATAGAATCTAAATAAGGCATTCAATAGTGATTTGGGCCAATATTTCCTGCCTGTGTGTTGTAGCTAGATTGGATGGCTCAACTTTTATTTTTATTGATACCTCCATAAAGAATGTCCATACATGGTATGGTGTTAGAATGAATAGACGAAATAACTTCAGGCTCTTTGCAAACCAATACCTGCTGATTCATAATTAGAGAAATTTTAACTTAGTTGAGTCCAGATTGAACCCCTCTATTTATCACATTATTAGAAGATTCCACATGTACTGTTGTGTAAATATTCAAAGTTGCTGATTTATTTTGACACTGACTCAGATCAACATTTTTAACTTTATTGCCAACAATGTTGATGAAAAATGTGATTGAGTTGATACTCTGTATAAGTTTCTACATTTATTGAAGTAAAAAAAATACAAATGTTTTCTCCTTCAGCACCGCGGGTGTTGTTCTATATTCCCAAACCTGACTGTTTTTTAACCACAATGATCGGATCGTGGATTCTGCTTTTACCACCACAATGGGGACGTTTACAGTGAGTCTGTGCAATCCACGTAGGTTGCCACAGGAGGCACCATTAGGGATATATGGATTCTAACATTTTTAACACAAAAACTAATCTACAGCATCCTTAAAGTGACGGCCAGTAAAATAAAATAAGGACTGAATGTCTGCAATGCCTCAGATATTTAATGAATTCTTCTACAATATACAAATATTCACAAACAAAATGTTTTCAGAAAAAAAGAAAAGAAAAACCTGTGTGTCGTAAACATTCGATTCCATCGTCTTTCAGGTCTGTCCTTCATTTCCTTCACTGTGTGCTGTTTGTTTTCTCAGGAACCTTCCAAATATTTCATATGATACAGGTACAAGTATACATGAATATATATGTGTATAAATATATTTATGTATATATTTATACATGATACATGTACAAATATACATATAAATATATATATATTCCTTTTCTTTGTTAAAAAGAGAGGCCCCTGGTTCTCCCCTGGTCACGCCACATGCACATGGTCCTGACCCACTGGGCATCAGCTCAGTCTGGGACGAAGGACGGGGTAAAAAGGCAGAAATCACAGTGTGAAGCAGAGACTCTTGACATCAGAGCTCGGTGCAGACCCAGAGGTGAAGGACACCACTGTATTGCATGGGTCAGCTTTTGGAGCTCAGTACTTGGTAAGTTAGAGGAGAGGGGACAAAAATATTTCATTTGATTTAAAAAAACAAAACAAAAGTGTAGCTGGAGACAGAGGCCACTCCCACACAGTACAGAGGAGAAGGAAGAAACACAAACACAAACAACAGTGACACTGCTGCTACAGTCTCAGCTCCCTGACTCTCAGGTAACATTCATATGACATGACCGTGGCACGCCACCTACAGACAGATACAAGCACAAAACCTTCTGGTAGTTTCAGGTAAAACCAGACAAAAGACCGGGGAACAGACACAGAAACAACCGTTTGTTTTATGGCTACAGGATGCAGTTTGTCAAGTAACGATGAAGAGTTAGCTAACAGGAGAACTGGCTGCTGTTACTCTTTAACCCTCGTGCAGTCCTTCGGTCCTAGGTGACCCTGTAGGTCATCTAGACCCAATCTGCTTTTGTGTGTGCGTGTGCATGCTCCTGTACTGCACGGATTGTACCAACTTCTCCTCATATTCATTCATATTCAGGGACAGGATGAAAATTAACTGCATGGACGAGGGGTGTGTACAAAAATGCGAAGGACAACAGGAAGGTTAAACCGTCCAATAGGATAAGTTGATACAATGTTTTCAAAGAGTGGCTCTAGGGCCAACCATGGCCTTCAGACATGTACTGTGTTGCATTTTACATTTTCCTTCCAAAAAGGATTTAGATTCAAATGTAATTTTATTGTTCCTTACTGGAAACCTTTATTTATTTTATTTCCTGACTAGCCTTTGCCTGATACTGAGCTAACACTTAGCCCAAAGTACAGGCTAATACACATGAATTAACATTTAAAAACTGGCCAAAGGAAAACTAAATCTAAGGCCAAAATTAGTGAGTAGGTTAAAAGAAAACTGCCCAAAACCTAAAAGGTATCCTTGATATTTCCATTTAAACATAATAATTGTATTAATAATGTTATGTTTAATTTAAATGGTTCAAATAATAGGAAAATGTAGTTTAAATAACCTGTCCAGGCCTGAGGAGGGCAGCACTGAGGAGACACTCTTTGAAAAAGTGGCCGAGACTAAAAACCTTAGAATTCCTAACAGTCAGTGAGAAATGAAGAAGCTTCGTGAGATGATGAGGTGAAGTCGTCAAAAACTTAAACTTCTAAACTTCATTGGTCGGATGAAAAGGACCTGGATGGATGAGAGCCTTCACAGACATTTCTCTCATTTCTTTCCTAAATACACCAGGAAAGCATTAGTGCAAAAAACTTTTAACATGATTATCTTCTCCATTTTCACCAAAAGAAATGAATTAAATACACTAGTTAAGGAGTTACGGGTTTCACCGGGTGAAAGAAACAGTTAAAAACACTTTGAGATCTGACCTTTTACTTCAGGACACAGTGGCTCCCTCTACTGGAAGTAGATCTGAAATGCTTTCAGTAGGAGCAGCAACAGCAAAAACACTTTTGAAACCTAGTAACTTTTTGGTTCAAAGGCAAAGTAACAACATGGAAGAACAGGCTTTCAACACACGGAGCTGTGGTTGTAGTTCGACAACAACAGTCGGCGGGAGAAGAAGAAGAAATAAAAACATTTGATCCAACATTGTCCTACTGGAGAGATGTCAGAGTAGGAAACAGTTGGACTACCAACACCAAGAACAAGGACACTGGTCCATGCTGGACCAAAGGTTTTAGTCTCCTTCTCCTGTCCACACTCTGTGTGTTGAAGACGTCACTAACAGAAGACTTCTGATTTGAACTGTTTTGCAGCCTCTGCTGTGAGTGAACTAAAAAAAAAAGGCATTACTGGAAAATAAGGCTCGCAGTCTGGAGTGTTTGACGGCATCCAGCCTGAGCTCCGTTCCATCTCTGATGACAAGGAGGAAAACAGAAGAGAGAAGACGCAGCTCTCAGCATCTACAGCCCTGTCCCTTTGTTAGAACCAACACCACTCTGTACCTCTCACACTCCCTCACACTCACACTCCCTCACCCCAACTCACTATTATTTTTTCTTTTTAAATAAACTTTTAAGTTTTGAGCGCTTTTTCTCCCCGTTCTCGGTGGAGTCTTGCGGGGAGGTGCTCTGTAACTTGTACTCCCTTCCCATGCTCCGGCCCTCTGAGTCCAGGGAGGTTATAGACGGGTTGCGGCCCACGTTGGGGAGCATGCTGGCGGGCAGCTGGCCGAAGCTGTAGGACTTCTCCAGGACACCGTTGTACATGCCCTTCCCCGCGGGAGAGGCCACGGCCCCCTGGGAGAAGGTGGCGCTCTTGGTAATGATGCTGGTGAGGTCGGGTGAGCCTCTGTGAGCAAAGGGGTGGTGTTCCAGTGCGGGGGAGGGCGAAGTGGAGGGCGGGCCTGAGGGTGTAGTGGCCGGGGTGGGAGGGAGAGGAGGAGGCGTGGAGTCTCTGAGACTGCTGCTGCTGCTGCTGCTGCTGCTGGTGGTGGTGGTGGTGTGGTTGGAGAAGAAGTAACCTGGACTCTGGCCCAACAGCAGCAGCTCCTCTCGGGAGATCTTGCGGTAGGGGAGCTCTGATCCTGGAGTGACAGCGTTGTGAAGCTGCTTGTTCAGAACCATGGAGGAGGTGAAGGAGTCTGTGTCGGCACAAACTTCCTGAGGTGGTTCCCTGGTAGGAGGGCAGAGGAGAGGAGGAGGTGAGAAGAGGGGAGAGAAGGGATGATAGGAGATAAGAGGGGAGGGCAGGAGAGGAGAAGAGGAGAGGAGGTGAGGTGACAGGAGAGGAGGAGGTGAGAAAAGGAGAGAGGATGTGAGGTTAGAGGAGATGAGAGAAGATTGGAGGAAAGGGGAGGAGAAGGAGAGAAAAGTTCTACTAGTTCCTGTACTTTGTCATTGAACTGTTGTGTATTTATTGTGTATTTGTGTGACCGATGAGGAACCTTAGTTTTGAAGTCTGTGGAGAACATCTGGTCAAATATGGTGCAAAATAGTTCTAGAGAATAAATAAGTACCTACATTTGGCCTGATATACTGTAGATGCCACCTCTGTGTGATCTAGTTCTATAAACATGTTATAGTAGTACAGATCAGTTGTGTCTCTTCCAGATAGAGTGACACCAAAGAAGAAGAAGAAGAAGAAGAAGAAGTAACCATTTAACCCCAGCATTCATCTTAAAGACTTTCATAAACCACCTGTGATTCCAAACTTTAACAACATTCCGTGGTGTCCTGACGGCCGCTACGTACCCCCTCCTATCGGTGCTGAACATGAGCTGATCGTCGTCGGCCTCAGTGTGATAGGAGAGGGTGGAGCTGGCCATGGAGAGCAGGTCAGGGTCTGGAGACATCAGCGATGACTGGGGGGAACTCAACAGGCTCCGACGGGAACGACACAGACTGCTGTTCCGTGTAAGTGCGGGTCGGACCAGGGTAGCTGCTGGATGGAAGAACGGAAAAGAAATCAAAAAGCCTTCCACAGTATGAAACTTCTGATCACACAAATACTTAATCCTCAAATATTCATACTGAGTTGTGTTTTTAGTGTTGTGTTCTTCATACTAAGAATAAAGATCAAATGTGGAGTTCCTCAAGGTTCCATTCTTGGGTCAGATTTGTTCTTTAACTACATGCTTAGCCTTAGCTTAGCTTAGCTTAGCTCCTGACCTGGTGACCCTAGTCTTTCATGCTTAGCCTTAGCTCCTGACCTGGTGACCCTAGTCACTACCTCAGTGGTAACTTGGCAGCTGGTGGACTCGAACCTGAGACCTTCCGGACTCAAGTCTACTTCCTTAACCACTAAGCCACCACTGCCCTGAACCTGAATTTGAGAAGTCCCATCAGGAATACTGAGCTACAGGAAAACAAGAAGTCAACTCAAGAAGTTCGGGTCTTTAAAAGTTTAGACTGGGGCTGGAGCCCCTTGTGGTTTGAGTCAGAAGTTCAAGCCACTGAAACAAAGTCAGAGTTGAGTCCCCTAAGTGTTCAAGTCACGAGATGCAATCCAGTAGAACAACAATCTGGTCCCCGGCTGGTCAGGGGTCCTCACGGTTCTAGTCCTGCAGTGTTTGCCAAACTCACTGGTGAACTGTGGAATGATGGGGGGGGTGTCTTCGTCCAGGTCGTCCACTCCTCCTGCAATGGGGTACGGAGGCACTGACACCCGCGGCATGACCACCCAGCTGTGGTCAGAGTAGAGGCTGGCTGTGAGACTGGGCAGCCCAGAGTTACTGACCACTGGGAAACCACAGAGTTTCTCAATCTGCTGCCAGCGGTGGAGACGCTCTCTCAAGCACGCCGTCACCTCTGACAGGGATTTCCTAAAAACAAACGTTGGAGATAAGAGGAGGGTCATTTTTTTACTGCTACATGTTGGCTAAGATTAAGTTAAGAGAGAAACATTGCAACTTAAGATTAAGTTAAGAGAGAAACATTGCACAAATGTAATTAAAAAATAAACAGCAAAAACAATGTCAGTGTCAGTTAGCCAAGGGGTTAAACTACACTGCACTTGTTATACATTTCCTTGAACTATAGCAAGAAAAGCTAAACATTTAGCATAACAATTAAAGTGTTAACAATATAGCTAATAATATTGGCAGACAAAGTTTTTTAAATTTTACTTTTATTCATATCAAGAGATTTTATAGAACATTGTTTTCTGTTTTCTGGCGTGCATCTGGGTTCATCTTAATCTTAGGGAAAATAATTGATACATCAAAGAGTGTGTGGTGTCCTTACTTGGCCTCCAGTATTTTATGGTCCACTTCATCCAGGGATGAACTATGGGCTACATGAAGAGTTCCAAACACAGAGGTTCTCTTCTTTTTGATTTTCTCTGCCTGAAATTGCACAACAGTGAATGTGAGGCACAAACTTCACCAGTTTCATCAGAAAAAGAAAAAAGTGTGTTTGCTGACGTAGAGGTTTGGATTATGGATCTCTCTCTATTTCTGATATGTTTTTACTACTTTATAAATGAATTCAACAACTTTTCCTATGGCTTTGACAGTTTTTCTTCAGTCTCACCTGACATAACTTTAGGATATGTTGAATTATACTAAAACTACTTTTTTATCTTATAGTTTTTATATTATCCTCTGGCTTCTTGTTTTACTTAGTGTAGCTAATTTTATATACAAGCTACTTCTTTGCTAACTACTAGCACCATTTGGTGCTAGTAGAGTTTCTAGCACAGAACAACGAGAGAAAAGTTATGTAATGATGAGAACAGACTGTTATATTTTATAAATATTGATGACAAATATATGGAACCATAAGCCACTGACTCTGGCCTTGCAGGACTCGATGGTGCACCACTGCCACTGACCTCATCTTTGGCGACGTAGAGCTGAAACTCAGCGTTCTGTTTCTTGATGTTGTAGTACTGAACCTCCACCTCGTGCGTGAGCTGGAGCCACTTCTGAAGAGCTTCAGGCACAGAGCGCTCTGACTGCATCTCCTTCTCTGCTCGCTTCAGGGCTTTCCGTACCTTAGTGAGAACAACACAGAAAGTGATAGAGTTAGATTGAATCTTGGTTAATCTGGTTAATCTAGGTTTTAGCATGTGAAGAAGGTTTTATATGTGTGGTTCTCCACGGTTTTCCACCTGGACCAGCTCCTCCTCGGCATACTTGAGTCTGCTCAGCTCACACTCGGCTCCCTCTCTGAGCTCTCGAAGCCTGTAAGCCTCCTTTTTGGCACCATTGATCTCGTCCCTCATTTTCTGCTCCAGGTTCTGCTTCTCTACGGCCACCGTTCTGTTCTCCTCCTGAGCTTTTTCCAGTCTACAAAAAGAGAAAAGGAGAGACAGATCTTCAGTGAAAGTGAACTCCTTGTCATTGACAACCAAGTCCGCTTCCTTAACCACTAAGCCACCACATGCCGTCTGCACCACACCTTGAGTTACATTATTTGGGTCTAATTCTAAGAACTAAGAAAGTATTCAGAGTACCAGCTGAATCTTGTCCTGGTCTTACCGACTCTGCAAGTCTAAAAGGCTCTGCTCAGCGTGCTGCAGACTCTCCAGGTCCTTCATCATCTGAGAAATGTGCACCTTGCTGGACTTGTTTTGCACATATGCAAACCAGCAGCCTCCCACACCGATCACTATGGAAACCATGAGGACAAAGTCCTTGGTCCAGTTATGCTGTGGACCTGCAGGAGGACAGAAGGTCAGCAGGGGCTAAATCTGAATCGTTTAGATGTAGTGAGCAGTCGAGGTGTGTGAGCATCAACGTACGTAAAGGTGGACCAAACAGCACGGCGTCCAGGGCCTTCAGGTTCAGTTTTTGTTTGTGTCGCTGGTCTAAAATCTTCAACTGCATGGACATAAACGACGGCTCATTGGCAGCTATTCTAAAACACAACAGACAAGGAATGAATGAATGAGTGTGTAAAGACAAATACCAAGTCATCCAGCAAATACTTGGACACAAGACAATTCAATTGTTGCTCAAAGAATTAGTTAAAAGTTTGAGTCTTCACAGTTAAGTGTGAGATATAAATACAGTTACACTGATACATTTTTGCATGAAGCAGACAGTTTTTCAAAATGGCTGACAGAGGAGAGATAACAATCAAGATACTGTACATAAAAGAACTCTTGAAAAGAGACTGACACGACCGGCAACAGAGGAACATGATCTGTAAAGGACAGCTGCTCATCAATCTTGACAATAAAAGCCATCCTTCAAAATTAAGAGAAAAGGCTAAAACTTAGGACAAAAATACAAACTCCAGACATTATTAGCTATAGCAACAGCTAAAAATGTTCCAAAGTCAAAAGTTATCTAAAAGAGTCAGCGCCCAGCAGTCCCGTGGACAAACATGAGACCCCTCCATCAGTCCCAGGACTCCTGGCCCACATACCACAGCCTGTAAGTCAACATCCACGTGTTCTCAACAGCCACTGTGTTTCCAAGGAATTCTGGGAGATTTGTCATTCAAATGACTTTATCCCTGCTTAACAGAGTCAGACTCCAGACTCACAATCACCACTGTTCAGATTGAACCAAAACACAACAATTGTCCCTGTGCTGCCTCTAACAACCAGCAGTGGGCAGCACTACACAGAGCAACGACTAAGGTTTGAGTTTTGGTTCTACTTCCACAGATCACCAGTTGTTATTGTAATTACAAAACCCATGTCTACCAAGGTTTGCACATGTGTAAGTCAAAATGAAAACTGTGATATTTGTTGTTCAGAACAGAGTGAGGAACGTTTCAGTGATAGCTCCAAGGTTATCGTTGGTGTTACAGCTGCTCCTGCATTTAGAAAACTCAGAGAAGGAAAAATATAAACTTGTGTCAGATATTAAGCATGAGATATTTTTTTATATTTAAAATGATATGAAAAGAGTGGCGTTTTGGCCCAGTGGCCATGTCTCTGTCATCAGTGTGGAACCCCAGGATTCACCTCCTGGGCAAGTTCAAATCCCTGTCAGGGTGGTTGGTACCTTCCAGTGGACTCACCACCCACAGGAAGGTTCAGGGGGGTTGGTACGGTGCAGTGTGATTTGCGTGGTGATCATGGAGACTGCTGTCCCCGCGACCCGGTAACAGATAAGCGGATGAAAATGGATGGATGGATGGATGATATGAAAAGATATCATCATATTTCTAAGTCGTAATTAATTAAAAAAGTGTAGATAAGAAAGGTTAATGGCAGGGTTAATGTTCTTGGACAAACTGGCAGGCCTGCAGTCCAGATCTGTGTCCTGTAAAAATAACTGCTGAGTCATGAAGAGTCACCACCGATCACAGACGTCTGAGATGATGTCAATTCAAACAGGGTTGGAGTTGGAGCCCACTCACCGAGGTAAGGTGTTCCCAGTGACGTGGAAGTCTCTGAAGTTCTTCTCGTACTGTGGCAGCTCCACCGACTCCTTCAGCCACTGCACCGTGTCCTCCATGGTCCAGTTATGGACTGAGACAGTTACAGAGAGAGGGGGGAGACGAGGGAATGATTCTCTCAACCAACAGCTGAGACTACCTTCTGTCCTCATCTGTCAGTTTTTCACTGTGTTGTGAAACATCTCATCTATTTCTGCACTCTTTTTTCATCATCACATTTTCTGTCCTAGCTTTTAGCTAATGTTTAGCTCTTCCTAGGCTAAAACAATAATAATCTTTACTCATGAGGAAACATCACCACTTTCATCACCACTGGGCTAATATCAAGTTATCTTAGCTTATTTACTATTAGCAGATTCTTCTGTACATTTTGACTCAGTGTCAGTCTTTACCGGGCTAATATACAGTAAGATAGCCTAGCTAGCTGGTTTAATCTTAATTTAATTTTAGTTTACGTTAAGTTTTTAGTGAAGTATTTCTGGGCTTCAGTTATCTCAACTAAATATTTTAGCAAACTGTTTACATACCATTATGCTGTCAGGACATTTACTTTCAGCTAACCCCAAGTTGACCATACAACTATTAGGTTAACTTAACCTCAAGCTTTGCCTAAGGCGCACATTTAGCCATTTTGCTGTTTGGTAACTTTGAAACAAAATTATATATGTGTATATGTGTGTTATATATATATATATATAATGACATTTTTATATATAATATATTTCAAACTATTTTATTCATATAGATGAGTCTGTTCGTCGTTATGGTTATAGTTATAGTTGTTTTATTCATTTGGCTAACTTTTAGTTCTTGGCTGGACTTTCAGTGGTGAAGTTATACTGTATCTGGCTAACCTTTAGCTGTATGGTCTACAAATGTATAGACTGTAGGCTGGTGTGGTGCTACCTTCAGAGGTCTTCCAGCCCTTCCACAGCTCCTCCACAGTGATGTGCTGGTCTTCACGGTGCAGGTTGCTGTGTTTGTTGGTTTGCTGCTGCTTCATGTCTTCAATGATAAACTGTTGAGACAAAGACAGACAGAAGAACATTAGGGTCTCAGACACAAACTGGGCAAATGGGAGAAACTGGACAAAGTCGGTTCTGTCCAAAAGTCTTTGAATGTCTCTCTCTCTCTCTCTCTCTCTTTCACACACACAAAGACAAAAAAGAAAGAGGGAGAGAGAGAGCACGCACGGACATACTTTTTCTCTTTTATTTCTTCCTTTTAGGGACTTCAGGAGCAAGGCAGATTTTACAAATCAACATGTACACGTGTATGTGTGTGTGTGTGTGTGTGTGTGTGTGCTCAGTTTCCGGCCGCCGTGCTCTGGCAGGTCTGACATAAAAGGATAAGAAAAGCCAGTCTTTAGAAACAGAACCCATCAGAGCTCTGACAGAACCTCAGTCCAGTCTTAATAAGGTTGAGGTTCAGATCAGCTGTGTCATGATGATGTCATAACAACTGCGGTACAGTGTCCATACACACAGACATTTGTACAACGTAAAAAACATACACACCAAAAATGACAAGTGTGAAAAAGTGAAAGTGAACTCCTTGTCAGTGTGACACAGCTCACCACTGCACACAACCAAATGTGACCTCTGTTTTTAACCCATCACCACAGTGAACAGTGGCAGCTTTAAGAACCAGTGAGTGGAGACGGAGCCATGACAGAGCACCTCAGTGGGAACTTGGCAGCTGGGGGACTAGAACCTGGAACCTTCAGGACCCAAACCCTCTTCCTTAACCACTGAGTATCTTTGTTGAAGCTACAGCTGAGCGTTTCGTTGTACCCCGAGGTACAATGACAATAAAGACTATTCTAGTCTACCTTTTTGCCGTGGCTGAAATGTTTTCAGACATTTGTGTTTTTTCAGGGCTGCCCTTCGTCCACAGACTTTCTGACTAAGAAATTGACAGAAAAATAAACGAAAAGTCAAACCTTTGGAGATACAACTTTTAAAAAGGAATTTAATGACCTTAAAGTTGCTACTTTATTTGACCTGATTATTTAAGACTCCACAGAATAAATACAATAATAAGGTTTGGATTTCTTGTCTGTATTATGGCCTGTTTCCTACTGTAGTATTGGAGAGGGTTTTTTTTTTCTGGTCCTAAAAACCTCTTACCCAACAGCAGTAGGAGACAAAAGACTTGAAGAAAAAACACTTTGCATGGTTACTTTTCATCCTCTTCCTCAGGATGTAAATGTAAAAGAGTTTTTTTTTCTTTTTCTTTTTCTTTCTCTCTGTCTGACGTGAAGCCAGGACCAGAGCAAAGGCAGCAGCTCAGTCTCTGCTGAGTCACGGAGGTCCCATCCAGACCAGGCCAAACAAATGTCCTACACAGCACTGCTGCGCTTTTATGAGCAGGGAAATCCTGCTGGCACTGACACACACACACACACACACACACACACACACACACAAACAAACACACAGGGGAATAACAAAAAGAAAACAAAACCAGTCTCTGATGAATGAAAGTGAATTTAAGACCACAAACCCAAGCTGTGTGATGGTAAAGATGACGTGTGCGTGTCCTGAACAGTAGGGAGCACTAAAGAAAAAAATATTCTTTCTCATTTGTAACCTACTCAGTAAACTGACAGATGTCTGATTAGAATTTCATTTTCTGAAATCTCAGACGTTGTTGTGAGGAACTGAATCTGATCTCAAGTTCACAGGTTAGAAAACTGCACAAGTACGTGAATGTACTGCATGAGTATGTGTGGACATGCTCTTGTTTACTGGGGTCTAGTACAGACACAGTGTGACACACACACACACACACATACACACACACACACACTGACAAAGACCAGTTTGTTCACGTTAGATTCCAGATTGAAGGGGGTGGAAGAATTACCCATGAGCCTTTGCTCTACTGAGCTTCACTGAATCTGTTCACATCTGGTCGTAAAGTTCACTTTTATCAGAATCTGTCCTCGTCAAAACCTTCACCACACTTACTGAATCTGTTCACATCTGTCCTCGTCAAAACCTTCACCACAATCATTTCTGCAGTAACTATCATCATCTTCATCATCATCATCACTGCAGTAACTATCATCATCATCATCTTCATCATCATCATCTTCATCACCATGATCTGTCATCATCACGATCATCGTGGACCTATATTTTCTCTTTCCTCTTTTCTGCACCAATCAGGTCATTTCGGGGTGAAAGTGGAACTGTTGTCGTGTCTGTCCTAACACTGAGCCACTGGACTTTGTTAGGGGATCTCATTTCATGTTTTAATCTATTTTTCTGACATAAGGCTTTGTTTGTGTATCTAGTATTTACCTACTGTACCTTGTTCTGGCTACATTTGAACTTATTTGGTGTAGAACTTTGGATTTCTTTAAGGTTTTTCAGGGCTGTTCCTTAATTAGAGTATTTGTTGTTGTTTTTTTTCAGACTTTTGTCTTTTACTTTTTGCAATATTTTAGCCTCACTATCTCTGGATACATTTTAGATTTATGTTTTTTCAAATGTAAAAAACAGTCAGTTAAGCTCCACAGCCAACAACAACACTTTAATCAATTTGTTTTTCTTAAGAAGGTGATAAATAAATTCCGAACAGTCTTGGACATTCCCAGACGAGTCAACAAGCCACTTTGAGACACTTATAAAAAATACACACTCTCGATGTGTGTTTGGATGCAAGATTCACATCCAAAGGTGAAATGTTTGGTCCTTCGTGTAGCGATAAGGAAAGCGAGCCTTCAGCAGCAGCCCACTGCTCCACGCTGTGACGCAGAGCGGGTCGTTGCAGTTTTCTAAATGATGCAACCTGATCCAGCTCAGTGTCTTCTTTGGCAGAAGGGCAGCAAACGAGCCGGCACCTGCCATCCCCACTGACTGTGCTCAGCAACAGACCCCCGGACATCGTTTTAAACCACCTAATAACTCAGGCAGTAATCACAGACAGGATTATGTCTCACAGTATTACAGCTGGATTGGATTCCTAATAAAATTCTTCCAGCCTGGTTATATTACAGATGAACTTGGAACAAATACATATCAAGACGTTCTCTGATTCTGTTGATGTTTATTTAGGCAGCTTTGGGAAGAAGTCTGTCTGTAGTTACTGCGGGAGCCAGAGGAGGGCACCAAATAGACCCCTTCTTTACCCGCCAGAAAAAGAACCAAGAAGCAAGCTAAACAGTGCACCGAACTGGATAAATACAACATCACAGTGTTCTGGAGAACACAACCCTTAAATCTTGACAAATTCTACACTATACCTTTATGTAAAGACGTGTTGGATTAACAGTTCTACAGACAGCAATTATTCTAATAGAATCTCATTCAAACAAACAGTGTCTGTTGACTCTTAAATCCTCTGTGGCTGTGTCAGACTCTGATCAGAAGCTAATACACAGCCTTGTTCACATGCTACTAGCTAGCACGGGTGTATTTGTTCCAGAAGTTAGATATGCTACAGCTATTCTGTTTAATGACTTTGCATTAGAGCGTTAGTGCTCACCTCAACAAACTGACTGAAGACAATTCATCAGCAAACACGGGTGAGGACAAAAATAGACAAAAGCAAATAGTTTCTCTCTCCAGAGAGTCTTTGTGTGAGTGTTTGGGATGTAGTCACATTAGATCTTTTTCAAAAGTCTGGCTTAAACCTCTTCATAACTCTTTAAAAAAAAAAGTGACAAGTCGATGAAAAAGAAGGAAAAGTTAAAACTATTTACACCCTGCAACTCTGAAACTGCCAAACCCTAAAAGCTAATGGAGCTGATCAAGTGTGACAGGGATCTACAGGATCAGCTCCCACTCCCCAAAGGACTGTTTGTGTTCCACTGAGGTTCTCAGCCTCAAATAATCTTTTGAAAAGCAGACGAGGCAACACACAGCCTTGACACATCCGTCAAGGCTGGAGGAAATCAAGGAACTCAGTTTCCTGCTGCTGGCTGAGCAACTTCCTTGTTTGCTTTTGCTGCACAAATATCAAAATCACACAGAAAAGTACTTTCGTGAGTGCGTGCGGATGTGTGTGTGTGTGTGTGTGTGTATTCATGAGTCATTATGAGCTCTGCAGGTAACCGTCAACCATTTATGAAACTACATTATAACAATACATTTGTGTGTGCACAGTGACTGACTGCTAAACATGGGTTAAAGTCCCTGTAACATAGTAACACCGACTGTTGTCATAATAACTAATTTAACATTTGAACAGAGCCAGGAAACTCCCAGAGACATGATGAAGAAGACCACAAGGAGGCATTCATTCATTCATTCAACTGATATGATGCAGTTCTTCAATGAAAACCAACGGAGGAGAAGGGATGAAGAGTGAGGCTCAAGAGCTGCACACAGCCATGTTTTTAACAAGTCAGACTTCTGTACATTGGAAATCTAAATCTAGGACTTGGGTCACGGTGGATTCCCGGCCTTTTGGTGTAACTATAAAGTAAATATGCTCTTTTGTATTATATATATATATATATATATATATATATATATATTATTTATCCTTGACCTCTCCTGTATACATCTCCTGTATACATCTACTAAAGTGTATAATAAAATTATGAAAATACATCTTGTTTGCATTTGTCAAAGACAGACGCTGTGAGGTACCAGCCTGCTAAATAAGTATGTTATTATCAAACAATAATATTAACAAGAAATATATTGTCCTCCTCCTCCTTATCAGTCGCAATAAGTTACTGCGACTGCGGAAACACATGAAGATCATGACAAAAGACAAGTCAACAGCAGAGCATGTGAAGATGGAAATGATGATCATTTCACTGATGAGCTGCAGTCACACACTGACTCAACAGGTCAGATACACAGACAAGATCAGAGAATCACATGACTTTACCACCAACCAAACCTCTACATTATCTATCAATTACACTATGACCAAAACTCCACAGAACAATTTCCTTTTCTAAGCTATGACACACTTAAATGACAAAACATAAGTGAGGAGCTCTGTGGGGTATCACCTATCGACACAAATGCATCACAAAACTATTATTTTTAACATTTAAGCAATATTTCATGTGAGTATTTATGTTTTTATACAGTACCTACTGTACATACAAATATACTGTATATATACACACATATACAGTATATAACAATGTATATATTGTAAAAGTCTAAAATGGAAAAACATGTCACACAGTGTATATATCATAAAAGTCTAAAATGGAAAAACATGTCATATTCCAGAGCTAGCATATCTTAAAATTTGGCAAGAGATACAATAAAATAGGTCAAAATTGGCACAAACAACAACATGTGACATAAACGTTAGTGCTAACTTTTGGGCATCCCCCCAAAAAAAGCTAAAACTAAAAGAATACAGCTTAAAATGAACCAACATTGGTTTAAAGGTGGCTTCATACCAAAAACGATGTAACAGTACAAAATTAACCAAAAGTAAGTGTCAGCATAGAAGAAAATTCAGATTCAGCACAGTAGCTAGAGGGTTAGCTCAGACAGTATCTTAGAGAGGCTGTTAAAAAGTCAAAAGTTATTCCACGACCAATATAGCTATACCAATATAACATATTTCCACCAATATGTTGCTCAACTCGTACACCCAGAACCAGAGAAACACAAGTGGCTGCAGTCAGTGTCAGTTCCATATATCTGGGTGTCACATGAAGGCCTGGTTTCACCCAGACCACCAGCAGCTAAAGAATCTCTGTCATGGATGTCATGAAAAGCTGGAGAAACTCCCCTCCACATGAAGAACAGGAGAAGGTGATGATGCTGAAGAGAACTAGCTTCTCCTGTATCTGTGTCAGTGCTGTCGATACAACATCCTGCTAACCCTGATAGAATTGACCAAAAAGCAAACAAACAAAACAATGCCTAACAAGTTGTAAAAAAAACAACAAGAAAAAACACTTCAAGTGAACTAAATCTGTAAAATATACAACATATTATTCTATAATCATATATGCATAACTAGTTATTAGTTCTATACCTAATTTTACTAATTATACAATTATAATTAGTAATTATTCATTACTAATTATACAAGTACAATTAGTAAAAACAAGTCGGGGCAGAAATAGCTAAAAGTGAGCTCAAAGAGAGCTACAATTCTGGATCAATTCACCTGGATATAGAGGTCGTTGAGATCCAACACAGGGCAGCAGAGGTCAGAGAGCTCTCAAATGTCAGTTCTGCGTCTCACCCCTAACCCCCCTCAAACACCCACACAGAGGGCGCTGTCAGTAGGAACCAAGCACTGACTGTTGCACAGACAGTAATGATATGCTACAGAGGATGTTTGAAATGGAAGGCTAAAAATGGACAAACACTTTCAAAACCTTGTCAAAAATGGCAAGAATGTTGGATTAAACGTTCAACAGCTGGGGAAGTGAAACACGATGAAGCAGATGATAAATGCCACTCCCTACTACCTGAAACATATGGCAACCAATGTCAACATGTCAACAAATTCACCTTGTCACAATGTCACTTCATGTGGTCCGGACTATGGGTCGATTATTGGATCATTTATAATTAATAATAATCATCATCATCATCATTATTATTATTATTATTATTATGGAGTTCCTTTATCTCTATTTTATTTATAATATATTTATATATGTAAATATCCCACAATGGGAAAATTTACAATGTCTTTAGACCCGACACAGGCCGCCACAGGAGTGGCACGGTTCAGTAAATGTTGCAGCTCACAGGCTGCCACACTGGAGGGGCATTATGGATATGTGGTTTCTTTGGGAATCAAAACCCAGGAGTCTCCACTTATTGCTCTGTAAGGCAGGAGTGCCATCCGCTACATTAAGGAAGCACGCTCTCTGTACCTGTTTGCTGATACAGTTTGCACTGTTGAACTAATATTTACTCACATTGTCAGAGCCTCATGTGACAGGCACCATACTGTTGGGAAGTGCTCGATACTGAAGTCGGTGCGTAACACCTACAGCAATGAAACCACAACATGAAGTTGAAACTTCACACTTGACTGTTCTTCCTCCTCGGTCTTGAACATTAAGAACAAATAAATACAGCTCTGTATTAGCCCCATGTTGGACAAAAGATCGAGAAAAATGCAAAGCTCAACTGCACACAAGCTAAGACGAGCTAGAAGCACAGAACACTGGAGAATGTAGTTAAAATAAATATAAAACGGTGAGGGCGGCAGCACTGGAAAAGCCAAAGTCAAGTCTTTGTCTCAATGGACTTGACACTTTTAGGAAAATTAGGATAAATTATCCTCCAAAAAAACATATAACAAAGGGAAAGGCTGGAGGAATAACTGTATATTTACATTATATCAAAAATACTAAAATATAATAACAAAAAAGTAGCTAAGTATTAGTCAAAATATATAAGTTGTAATGAAAAAAATGTCAAAAATGAAGTTTTAGTTTTTAGAGGAAGAATGCACCTTTTTATTGTATACAATTCATTGGCATGTTTAAATTGTATTAATTAATAAAAAGGTGAATTTCTTTTTCTCAGCCATAAAATATGTTTTTTATAAAAAGCTGCCTGTTAATGAGGTCCTGGTCTCACGCTGGGCCCCCAACCAGACTTTAAACACACCTGTCCACTTGATTCACAAGATGATCACTTCAACGTGAACTTCCAACGTGAAAAACATGCTTTATTAAACATTACCTCTACACTTTCGTTGACTTCTATTCCTCCATCATTGTCATCATCCAGCTGTTTGTGGATGTGCCGCAACGCCTCCAGACTGAAGCGGTCGTCGTCGCCCATGCATGGGGGCATCACAATGAGGCAGGGGTCTGGAAGGAAGAAGACAAAAATCATAAAGCTATATTTCAGTTTTATATTTCTGTTAGGATAAAACAGCATTAAAACGATTAGCTTGAGGTTTTAGTTAGCACAGAGCATATAGACACAGACAGAAGAACGAGGATTTAGCTAATACCTGTTTGCATGTAAGTACACACCAGGCCTGTCCTTCAGCTATTTACAGCACAAACATTAGGCTAGTTATGAAACATTGCTCCACACTGCAAAGTAAGTAGACTGATGATCTGTATTATAGACAGATGTTCTATAATATTGTTTGCTGATGACATAAAGCTAATTTCTTCTTAATTAAATTGTCAGTGCGATTTCATCAGATCTGTGGTTACGCTCAGTGTCAGACAGATTTTTGGACAAATCCCACGGTCGATTCTCTGTGGACGGAAGTGATGAGAAGTGACGGGATGTGAGGTGCCGTACGTCGCTGCCAGCACATGTAATACTGCTAGAGTGGAATCATTTACATATCAATCAAAAGACTAATATATTGACACAATACAAAAACAAAGGACACTTTATAACATATTTCTGTTAGTTTAATTAGTTGTGTGCAGTACAGTAAATAATAAAGTTTTAGTTAGTCTTAATTTTTTCTTTAATTATTATTTAGATATATTTAAGTTAATGAAAATTTTTTTCCAAGTTTAGATTCCCAATTTTGTTACTTTTTAATAACTATAATAACCTTGATGTATAAACAGACACACCAACAGAGGCACACACACACACACACACTTCTAGATGCTTCAGCAGCCTCCACAGTTTTGTAATGAGGACACCTGGTATGAGACACAGGACTTCATTACTCCCTCAGGAGTTCCCTTTGGGAAATTAGGAGTTTGTTTCCCATCAAATTTGACCAAAATGTAGTTTCTGTCTATTCATAAAAACAGGCAACAACTGAGTCACAAAGATGACACTTGGCAGGTCTAACAGTTAGAGGAGCTCTTCCATTGGAGCTCTGCCTGGACTAAGTTTGGATAAGGAGACACTGGGGATTATTTCCATGACAAAACCAAGAGACTCGCCCCGGCCAAGGCCCTTCTGACCGGACTCAACGTCACGATGACTGAAAACTGATCCTTTGTTCCTGAGTGAACGGATACACACTCAAACCAAAACATTCAAATCACAGAGTCTTCCAGGCGTCCGTCTGTTAATATGGTGTTTTGGTAGCTTCATAGTGAAGAAATAAAGAGGACTGAGCAGCTCCAAACACACTAACACATGACCACAGACTCTAAAAACCCAACCCATTAGCCTGAATGTTTAATAGTGGTGGCCACACAGATTTGTCTGGCAAATCTGGTGTTACCATACATAAGAGATACTGAATGAAAACATCAAAGCTGGGCCGCAGTCACACTATGAGTCAAAGAGTATACTTGAAGTGCCTCTGACAGATCGTCTAGTAGGAGACAAAAATCCAACAGAGCTAACCTTCTGTTCTGCCTCCAAGAAAATACATTTGATGTGTCTAAGACAAAGTCATATTTAGGAAATTCAATCAAAAAAAATGGATAGATAGATAGACAGACAGACAGATGGATGGACGGACGGACGGATGGACTACGGAACTAAGACTCGTGTCTGAGCTCAGTAGCGTCTGACATTATGTAATGTATTTGCCTGGCGTGTCAGGGCAGTTCACATAGCCCTAGGTTTGCATATCTATTTGGCTGGGTTATTTAAATAAAAGAAAAAACTCAATACTTCACTGTGTGTTTTACCGGAACTCTTACCGAAGTTCATTTTACTTTTACAAAGACTTCACTATTATGAGCGGCCTAATTCTGTTCCTTCATCCAGCGTCTTCTGAAAAGCACAGAGAAGAGAATCTTTGATGAAATAAATCTGTCAGTATTTGGGATGGCCCGCCTGGTGTGCAGCTCAATAAGACGACAGCAAGAGCCCTTCCGTCCCAGATGTCCTATTTTGAGTGTGTCAGAAACACTCTGAAGCACTAGAACATGACGAACCATGTGACGGGGAGGGGCCACCGGTGACCCCCAGCGTTCTGCGGGGACGCACACAAAAATCAAAACAGCCCAGAGGGAGAACTGGCTCTGAAACACGACAAAATTGGAAAGTACTGTCTTATTTATAGCTCATCCAACTTCCAGCTGTCAGGATGTGAGAGCTCAACAATGACAGAGGTCTCCCTTCAATAAGCACACACGCACACACACACACCAGTATAACATATGCAAATGTTCAGTCCGGCAGCAGGAAAAGCAGTTGTGCTCCAACTTACTTCAACTATAAATTACAAATGCAACAGAAGTGACGGCAGCTTTTGGTTCAAGAGCCTTTAAAAACAAAAGCACATTCCTGTCAATGTGTTACTTCAAAGTGAGTTCCAGCACTAAATTTATGCACAAAATCGTCTTTGACTTCAGCAGGTGACAGGTGTCTGGCGTCTTCTAGTGTCTTTTCAAACAAATTTACATGACCTACATTCATGATGACAAGCAAACTTTTTGATAAATGCATTAAGACACAAGTAGAAAAACCTGATGTTTAAAATCTGTGAAGATCGGAAAACTATTGGTGGTTAGCTATCGGTTAGCACGGTAACAGCATTAGCTCTAGTGTCTGTACCAGGACTGTCGTAGCTACTGTAGTTCAAGTCTATGAGCCCACAGAACATCAACGTAGGGTAGACCCAATACAATTGCCAACATCTAGTACCATACCATTACTTTGTTACATTTTATTTTGCTTAAATTTCGTCTCCAGTTATTACAAATGTCAAACCATCTGTTCCAATTATAGTAATGTCAAAGTTTGAACAACATCGTGTGTTTACTATGCCGACAGTTTTCTTACAATTAATTTGTCAAAAACATATATCATCAATATATCGTTGGCCTTTAGTATCACAGTATATTGCAGTTTATCTTACAGTCGCTCGTGTTGTGATACGTATCGTTTCGCCAGATTCTTGCCAATACAAACTCCTACAACTGACACTGTCCTAACAGTAGACGATACATGGTTACATTTAAGGTTAAAACAAATGAAAAGAACGACAGAATAGAGATAACTGTAACAGGACAAGTATTTGCATCAGGTATCAAGCCCTCAATCACCACACTGAAGTGACACTGGAGGCCTGAAGTGCTGCGATACATATTTAAAAAAAACTTTTAGTTGAATAAGTGGCCACGTCGGAACGACTGGTCGTCTGAATGAATTTTCCTCTGTGCACGTTCACTCTTCCAAACAGACTTGGAAGGGTTAAGACGTTTCGTCAGCAGCTGGCAGCACCTGCCGCTCAACTCAGGAAAAAGATTTTTGAGCCATGTCCTCTTGACACGAGTCACTGCAAGAACATCTTGGACGTGAAGCCACATGCAGTGTAAGAGTATCTGAGCTCGGGGGGGGGCGTGGAATTAAGACAGCAAGAATATGAACTTTGGGGTCCAACCTCCTATGCCCCGCAAACTGACCACAATTACCCAGTGCCCTCTTTCTGTACACACATGCATACACACACACACACAGTCTCTCTCTCTTTCTCTCTCTCATCGTCTCAGTCAGTGTCTGAGGCACAAACACTGTGGCTAACCAATTACCTTGAACCCCAGTCAAACTTTTTAATGGCAGCAAAGAATGTTTGAAAAGCAAAGAGGAGGAAGACTTGGACAAACACGGTTCACCCTGTTGTCTTACAGAACATGTACTTGGCCTGAGTTGTTCAGGTGGAATGAGGACTTTCAGGTTTGGTTTTCATTTATCAGGCACTGACACCTCTGACACAAAAAAACAAGAATTTTTTAAATGACAAGAAAATTACTAGAAAATATAGTCAACAAACAGGTCAGGTACAGATAATTCTAATTTGGATTCTTTGGAAACAGAATTTCACAGGCAACCTTTAAGCTCTCACATTACTTCAAGGATCTTCTGTTGTTTAGAAAAGAGGAAAAAAACAAATGCTTACTACATGACGAAGACTGCATTTCAGTGCATTTCGATGCATTTTTAGCCAGTCGAATGCTTACTACATGACGAAGTGCATTTCGATGCATTTTTAGCCAGTCAAAAGCACCCTTAAAACCAACCTTCTTTCAAGACAGATTGACAGGATCGTAGGTTTATGTTAGCCTAGCATCAGTCTAAAGTTGTGTAAACGCACGTTCAGCCTCACACTTCCTGGAGAGAAGCCCTTTTTGATTCTATTACTGTACCACAGACAGACTGCACATCAAACCCTGGCTGCTGTGAACCAACGGCAGCAGTTACAGGGAGCGGTCACTGTCACCCTGCAGACAGCCTGTACAGAACCGTGCACCCAGTAAACTGGTCCCCGTACAGTTTATTACGGCTGCATGTCAGCCATGTCAGCAGTTCGTTATGTCCACTGGCACCACTCCAAATCCTCTCCAGCTTTCACACGTTCGCGGCCCAGATATTTACTGCAGTGGATGATGAATGACATTTTAAACATAATCCTGGGAAACTCACACAATCGTCACATCCAAAGGTTCCACCACAGGTTTTACTGTGAACAGAATTTGATTTTAGAGGATACAAAACAAATGACTTTCAGTTGGATGTCGGAAGTTCACAACTGTAGCTTTAAATGCACCAGTCAGATGTTGAAAACTTTGGGTAATTAAGTTGGTGGAGGATCAGCGGCTTCAGCGTGCACCACTCTGCATCCTCCTACCCCCACCTTCCACCTCCTGTGACCACCGCCCATATGGCAGTGCCATAAGTCACTCTGACAGGTTAGTATTAAAGGCAAGTAAATAAAGCTTCTGGAGAGTCTACCATTTCAGCTCATCAGCAGCCATTAATAAGACACAAATATCATTAGTCGCCTACAAAGGCCACCAGACTGTGCAGCGAGAGTCAGGGTGAGCAGGCGAGAGAGAGAGAGAAAGGGGGGGGGGGGGGAGGGGGAGGAGGGAGAGAAAGGGAGGGGGGGGAGAAATCAGGGATCGTCGGGTGGAAGAGGAAGAAA